TCTGTTGTTGTTTTCCTTATTGAAAGGGATGGGGTGGCTCGGTGGCTAAGATGCTGAGCTTGTCGATTAGAAAAGTTGGCAATTCAGCGGTTTGAATCCCTACCGCCGCGTAACGGAGTGAGCTCCCATTATTTGTCCCAGCTTCTGCCAACCTAGCAGTTCGAAAGCATGTAAAAATGCAAGTAGAAAAATAGGAACCACCTTTGATGGGAAGGTAACAGCGTTCCGTGCGCCTTTGGCATTTAGTCATGCCAGCCATGTGATCACTGAGAGGTCTTCGGACAGTGCTGGCTCTTTGGCTTTGAAACAGAGATAAACACCGCCCCACTAAAGTCGGGAATGACTAGCACATATGTGCAACCTTTTATAGAAAGGATATTTAAGTATTTTCTTACAATAGTTGGCTGTTAATATTTTACTTTTTTCTCTTTGTAAAAATAAACCAAAAATCACCTTTATAGAGATTGAAGAGTAATGCATGCCGTGATGGGGCTATTTTGTCCCTCTCGTTATGATCTGCTAGGTAAGGATTTCTTTTGTCCAAAAGACAGTTGGAATAATTGATTTCAGGTGTGTCCAAACTTGACTATTTTAAAACTTGTGAACTTCAATTCCCAGAATTCCCCAGGCAGCAAGGCATTGCTACCTGGGGAATCCTGAGAGTTGAAATCCATAAGTCTTAAAGTTGCCAAGTTTGGAAAACCCTCATTGATTTAAAACTAATAAATCAATGGTAGATCGTTTTCTCAGAACCTATGCTTCTCCCTTATCATTTGTAAAAAGATGAAAAACCTTTATCTTCTAGGTATGTGGAAGGAAGTTCGATCCCAGTTCCAACCCACTACTACAGCATCATCACAAGTTGTTTAGACTTCACTCAGCCTGCTGACAAGTGTGACGGGCCTCTTTCAGTTTTGGCATATATTTTCCCGCACAGGCCTGACAATGATGAAAGCTGCAATGTAAGTTCCAACTTATTCCTGTTGAATGGTGCTGGGCACCAAAGTGCCAACATCAGACCCAATGGTCTTTATGTTAAACAGTTGCAGAATTAAAACCAATCCAAAGGTGGTGGAAAAGACCAAAGAGGCAGGATGGCTACATAAGAGAACCTGTTCAAAAGGATTGATTGATGTTCTCCTGGCTTTTTTGAAAGCCCACTGATGGCCAAATATGGCCTTAGGTTTTGCCTCAGTAAACACTCTCCAAGTACAGGAGGATCAGAAGAACCTCATCTAACAAAATGAAATTCAATGGTGGGAAAAATAAGGCTATACTGGGAAGCAAGGAAAATCTAATGCACAGGTACAGAATAGGTCAGTGATGGTGAACCTTTCCGGCACCAAACTGCAACATGTGTGCATGTGCATGTGTGTGCCCCAGAGCATTGGAAACCCAAAGCCCAGCTGGCTGGCATGTTCATGCCTATTTTTCTGGCTGGGTTTTTTGGCCGTTTTTAGACCATTTTTGGACCAAAAACAGCCTGAAAATGATCCCATAATGGCCTGAAAACAGCACAAAAAAACGGCCTGAAAACAGCCCCCAAACAGCCTGTTTTTGGACTATTTGAGGCCATTTTCCAGCACTCTGGTGCCCGCAAAGACCAGTTGACCAGTGTGCATGTGCTTGCTGGAAACCAGAAGAGCAGCTGCCGACCGTGCACATGCCCAAGAGGGCACTGCATGCCAGCTCTGGCACACATGCCATAGGTTTGCCATCATGGTACCTTTCTCAATAGTAGTAACAGTGAGAGGGATCTTGGAGTCCAACCATTTAAACATGAGCCAGCAGTGTGCAGCAGTTGCCAAAAAAGCCAACACAGATCTAGGCTACATAAACAGAGGGATAGAATCAAGATCACGTGAAGTGTTAATACCACTTTATATTGCCTTGGTAAGGCCACACTTGGAATACGGCATCCAGTTTTGGTTGCCACGATGTGAAAAAAGATGTGGAGACTCTAGGAAGAGTGCAGAGAAGAGCAACAAAGATAATTAGGGAAGTGGAAGCTTAAACATACAAAGAACAGTTGCAGAATTGGGTATTGCCTCGCATAATAATGGAATGGTCTCAATTGTATAGCAATAGCAATATAGCAATAGCAGTAGACTTATATACCGCTTCATAGGGCATTCAGCCCTCTCTAAG